TTTTTGACGTTCTTGTTGCCGTCCGCGTCGTTGGATCTTAAAAGGACGCGGTCGCTAGGCTTGAAGTAATCCTGCCTGTTTGCGGTTCATGGCGGAGCGTAAAGGTCAAGTGTTTGTCGATGAGCGAGCGATTATCGGGCAGTTGCGGTGGGTTTGGGGAGCCAGCGAGCAAGAAGCAGGAGCACACTTTACCTGCAAATTAGTCGATGGCAATTTGGAGCGGATTTGTCGATTATTCTCAAATTTACAGCACTTCGCGTGGAGATGGTCGTTTTTTTTTTTTGCAGCCTTTAATTCTTCTTTAGTGGATAGTACCTACGAGTGCAAAACTGAGCAAAATGCCACTTTGACTGGCCAGGACCGACAAGGAGACCTTCAGTTGAAGGTATGTTAGCTTTGTTTTTCTCTATTTTGATTTCTGGTTTAGTTTAGTTCGATGACTTCTCTTCAGTCGAATATCGACGACTCATCCCACCAGACACACACTACGTCTGGGTCGCCCGTGGCGCAACTTAAGTTACATGTACAGTATGTGGTCCCGGGGGGGGGGGGGCACTTGGGTATTTTTTGGGTGGGTATGTGCCGCCCGGGACTCCAAATTGGCACCCCGTTCTAGAAAAAACCTCCCCAAAAATTGATACCCCGTTCTAAAAATGGGCCAATTTTTTATACCCCGTTCTAGTATTCGCCCTAAAACTGATACCCCGTTCTAGATATGGGCCAATTTTTTATACTCCGTTCTAGGGTGCAACAAGAGTACAACAGTTTGCTTGTTAACGCATTGAACCGTATTTTAAAAGCAATCTGTCCTTGAATACTTTCAAATGACCGCTTACAAAAGTGGAGCTTTCGTGCGTTCGAATTTTATACCCCGTTCTAGAAAACGCCTCTGAAATGGATACCCCGTTCTAAATCAGGAGCTTCAAATCACGACCCCTTTGGGCGGCACATACCCGTATAGGTAATGTATGGGAGTACCCCCCCCGGGATGTGGTCCTTTAGTCCGGCCGGTTTTTCTTTGTGATGTAATTTTCTGGAAGAAAGTAAGGTTACAATACAAACGAAACTTTCCGAGTGTTTATTGATTTGTTTACCCTCTTAAGCTCGATTCGAGGTTTTCCTGGTGCTAGCGAAGGCTGGAAAATCAAGTTAACGCGAACCAGGCGAACGTAGCTGAATTTTGTTCTGTTATTTGTGTCTTTTTTAAGGTACCTTAAATTACTTAGATTTATTTTGAATTCAGGAATATGCGATTAAGTGCGTTAAGAAAGCTAATTTTTATGTACATGGAGTACAGGAAATATTCTTTCGACTTGCAAAAAAAGTTCAGTGGACAGGTTGAATTTTAAACCCAAAGTTATAGATAATATGCCAAAGTAAGTTTTGCGTGCAAAGTCCTTAGTCCGGCCACCGGACGATAAGTAAACCAGCCACTGAAATACCGATTGAAAAGGGAGAGCCTCAGAAAGTTCAGTTTTCGTTTTGTTTATTTCTTAGTAAATTAAGATTTATGAATTGAAGTGAGGATCTTTCAACTTTGAGTCACATTTTACGTAAAGTACTTTCAATGACTGGAGAAAATAATACTGAAAATCCGCATGGAGCGTTTAAGTTGATATATTGCTCGAGACTTCAGAGACTTTCCCAGTAAAGTAGCAACAAAATGCAGTTGATATAGAAGGCCTTAAAAAAAGAAAGCTTATATCCGTCCGATTGGTTTTATTGGGGAGCTTAAATGGTTCATCTCTAAGCAAAGTAAAAAAATTCAAGCAATGGTTTTAACAAGGAAAACATCAAATTACTCGACCGCCCGGACTGCACGTGCATGATGACGCACGCTTTTCTGTCAGATTTCTTTGCCGTTGCCGCACGTCTAAGACAAAAAATTTCCTGTTGGGAAGTTTTTCTTGAGGACATAAACAAGCGACGACAAACTAATTTTTTCTTTCTCTCTAAACTTTGATTGAATTCATTTAAAATAGTAGCGATCTCGCTGCCGTCTCATCGTAACTGCGAGACAATTTCGCACAGAAGCAAAAATAATAATTCTTCATGAGACCAAACTACAGCTGTTAACACAGAAATCTCATTTTGGCTTTCGAAGTTAAAATGATGCCTATAGAAAATGCATAGGAATTTAGATCAGTTGGTACTTAGGAACGTTTTTTTGGGGGCACAGTTCACTGACAGTTTGCATGCCGGCTTACAAAGTGGCCAAAGTGGCCGGACCAAGGAACAACTGGCCGGACGAGGGGCCTTCAAGGGAGCGGTCAATGATGCAGGATTTTCGGCAAAGCTCAGAAGCTGACGGTTAGTCACAAGTTTGTAAAATGTCACGGCAACTTACAGGACAAATTTCAGCTCACTACTCCTTTTCTAAGATAAGCCATACTTATTTATGTCTTTCTCGTCCGGACCAAGGACCACAGACTGTACTAGTTGTTTTGGTGAATGACTTTAACCTATACAGTGGTATTCGACATTCTGTAAAGAAATCCTAGAAGTGATACTGGGGCAGTATATGTCAAAAAAAATATCATGCAGAAGACAAAAAATACAATCGATACGAACCCGAACTGAAAATTTTTCCCCATCGCTATTCTAATGTCTTGAGGGGCTAGGAAAAGCGCATGCGCCTTCTATAAGCCTAAGAGAACGGAAAAGAGAAATGCCTTTGAAATGCTTTCGGCCAAAGTTTCATTCAAAACTTAAAACATAATCAGAAGATAACAGCGAATTCAAGTGTCAGTGTTCAAGTGACATGCGGTGGACCGGTAAGGATACGAGAACTCCGAAAACGTTGTTCACCGTTGTTTTTCTCTCCAGGTCCAGTGTCATATAAATCAATATCCCCAATCAAAATGTGTATTGTCATCTTTTTTTTATTTAATTTCAGAACTCTTGTTGTCTTAATGTACTCTTTTTCAGGGCAATGTAATCAGATTAAATCGTTTTAAAAATTTCTTTCAATACAGCCCACCGAAGATTTGCTCCCACAAGTGACAGAATTTCTTGTTGTCTTAATGTACTCTTTTTCAGGGCAATGTAATCAGATTAAATCGTTTTAAAAATTTCTTTCAATACAGCCCACCGAAGATTTGCTCCCACAAGTGACAGAATTTGTGTTTTGCCATGTATATGTACTTCACTTCTCCCGGAGTATTCCCAGTCGGGTCAGTATTGGTGCACCACTGGCTCGGCTCGGCAGTATCTCGCCATTAGGGAGAGAGAGAACTCACGTGAAATGCCGTTTAGAGTGAAACGAAGACGTTGAGGAAGTCTCCAGGCGGGTGCTGTCGTTATTATTTTTTTTCCCGTGAATTTCTTTTGTATTAGTTTTTTAAACTAGCTGCAGAAATTGTTTTCAGGAATGTCACTGGTGATAGAGAGTGCTAACGTTGAAACTGACTTCCTTGTTGTTGCTTTGGCTCTAATGGGAGAAAAAGGTAATTTTCAGGGGGGAACAGGTGATAAAATTTGAGTAATCGTGGTAGATTTTGTTGGTTCTATCAAACCAAGACGACGATTTAGTGGTCAAGCAAAATGAACGGTTCGAGTTTTGACACGATTTGCGCAATTATTGTTTACTGCAAGGACATCTACGGCCGCTACTGCATCAAAGAAGTAACAATGATCAATTCCACCAGTAATTTGGCGATGACACTTTGGTTTTTCACTTGTTTGCCCCCTGAGAAACCACGTGACATTGCTTTTTATCCCATCCGTCCTTAAGTGAGTGCAAAGCTGCCGGGTAGCGCGGTTAAGTTTTTTTTTACTGTTGGTATAATTCTTGCCCGCCGGCTTTTCTGACAACCTGATGAGACCAGATGTTTTACTGACTCTTTCCTTCAGAATCCTGTCTTAACATGCTCGCCATTCGTTGTTAGATTACAACCCCGTTAAGGCGGGTCTGGACAATTTTTTGAACGGACAAAAACTTGCACAGTTCCGCCTTTTCCCCCATTCGTTCACACGGGACCTGCGGAACCGCGTAACTTTTTGAATGGTAAAGTGCGCAAGTTTTTGACCTGATCAGAAGATGGTCAAAACTATTTACCGTTGCGCTCCCACTTTAAGCGGACTAGTGTAAATACCTGAACTGGGAAAGCTTTTGAAGAGTTTGCGCGACAGGTGAAAGATTACGCTCCTTTTATAAGCCGGACTCGCGTTAGACTACGAGTAGTCCCCCATTTTCCCTCAGGGATAGTACAGCAAGCGAAACGCGAGCGCGCGTGAAAATCTCTCGCGTGGGGTGATTTTCACGCGCGCTCGCGTTTCGCTCGCTCTACTATCCCTGAGGAAAAATGGGCGACTACTCGTAGTCTAGACTCGCGTAAACAGTAACATATTCGCAGGGTGTCCTAAACTGGAAAAGGTCTCCATAGGGTTTAAATGTGTAGGCGCAGATAAGAGGTGAAAAAATATCATTTATCCATACGGCTGGTAAAAATGCTAGACTGATTTAGGGTCTTTTTTATTTGTTTTCTTTACTTTCTAGATACTTAAGTAAAATTTCGAAACCGTTTTTCTATCCATCTAAGAAAGGTTTCATATCATAATGGTAACTTTAAAGTTTTCTCAATATCAATACGCATCGAATTATCTGCACAAAAGAAACCATAGGGTACCTGTGGTAATGTGATAAAAAACAACAAATCGAGCGCGCCCACCGTTCATGATCATAAAACCTTTTCTCTAAGTGTCTATGCACGATTAACCTGCGAAAGTGCGCGAAAATAGTCAACAATGGTAAAAATAATTAAAGTGATCTCACCAAAAATCAATCTTAAATCGCTTTTGATATCGCGTTGAAAAAAATTAACATTTATTTTCGGTCTATTTTGCATTTAAGTCAATCAATTTTGCATTTAATTCAATCAAACTCTTTTAGGGGATAAAAAATTACTCTACAATACGTCTGGCGCTTTTTCCTTTTTGAGCAGAACGTTTTTTCGTTTACCTTGGGAAAATGTTCGAGCCACAGTACATTTCCTTCAAGATCATGGTGATCGAAGTCGAGCGACATTTCTCGATGTTCCAGTGCAATTAGTACGCGAACCAATCCACCGACAAATCTGCCAGGCCTTGAAATGTGTTAACCTGGTGATCAGATTAAACAGCTTTTTTCGGCCGTCGGGCAGTGTGACTCGACCGGAACTCGAAAGAATTCCGACCAGCACTCGATGTCTTCCTTTAAGGGTAGTTGTGACGTAAGTTCCGGCGCCGGAACTACCAGTGGTTGCGTCGCATCTGCAAAGGAGCAAACTGGAAACCACTTGAGATTTGCAGTGGCTGTACCACAGTGAATTACGCTTTTTGTCGCCCGGAAAACTGGCAAAATGTATCGATGGCTTCAGTTGCCTGGAGGTTTCGATCACTCCCAGCTTGAAAAAGGGTCGTCTGTGAGCTCTCCGCAAGGTAATTACTGCATAATCGAAGCTTGGTGAGTTGGGTTTTAGTTGCCACCTTTCAGGGAACTTGACGTTTCTGACCCCAATCCATCGCAGGTGGCCATTACGTCGCAGAAAACCAACTTTCAAATTGGAGATAGGCTTGAGCAACTGCTTTCCGTTGTGAAGGCAATGTGCTGAAGTTAACACGTGTGTGGAAGATATGAGCGAGCCTGAACAGCCCGATGAGATCTTAACCGAAGACGAAAACGGAAACTTCTGCGCTTGCGTTGAAGCGTTCAACCTTATACGATTATCCGGCTTGAAAATAAGCCGTTTAGTGCGATGCTTCCAGAACTGGTGGTGTTTAGAAGATGAGACTGAGTTTAAGCTTGAGCTCTGTTTAGGGTAGGAGTTTTTAGAATCATATACTGTGACTCTTTCTACCACGTGCTGTAATTGGGATTCGTTGATTTCGCTCTGAAGATCAATATCTGGAAGCGGGATTCTTGTTGAAAAGTGAGAACCATTTTTCCAGAGTATTTCTTCGTTGAAGTCGACAAGATCTTCGGTTGAATCGTTTAAACTTACAGAAAACAATTTGAACGGTACCGTGGAAGCTCTTTCCAAGTTTGACAGCGTTTCGCTATGTTCATCAAGGCCCCTTCTCGATCTTTGTTGCCTCTGTAGAACATCATTTTTCTGAATTCCGCGTTGCTCTTCTTTTTGCTTACGCGCGTTGATTCCTTTCAGTATAGAAGCCCCAATAACGATCACAATGACTAAAGCTGTTGACCAATGCTTCATTTTCACGATCCGCCTTGCAAAAGAGT